TAGCACGTATCAATTCAATTAAAGTTATTCTAGATCAATTTGACAGTTTGAAATTACATTTTCAAATGGCAGCCAGCAGAGAAAAATGTTTTACTACGAGAGTTTTATACGACATGTATAATCACGAGAACAAGCTTTATTTAATTTTTTTAAAAGGAGTACTTGGTTCACTGATAAGTTTAAATAAATTGTTTTAATCTCAAACAGCTGAACCATTAAAATTAATGAGAGATTTAAGCGACTTACTGTACTCTAATTTGAAATTGATTGTTATACCATCCTACCTAGAAAAAGTTAAACGTCAAAATCTTTCCTCATTTAAATTTTCGGATCATTTAATGCCAGTTTCTGCAATTTACTTTGGTTATGACTTTAACGAAGCATCTACTCACGTCGATAAAAACCAACTCTTTGGAATAAAAGAAAGATGCAAAAACTTTCTTGTTACCTTATGTCATCAATTGCAGGCAAGAATTCCAGAAAACATGCATATTTTGGAAAAAATTAGTATATTTTCTATCGAATCAGCAACGTCACTACAAAGGTTGGATATTTCAATCATTGCCATTCAATTCAAAGAAGTTTGCGGAAACATCGATGAAGCTGTGAGGGAATGGAACATTCTTCACCGTTTTGAAACTGATGCCAAAAGTACCGATGAATTTTGGTCAGCTGTAGCTCAAGATAGAGATAGTGGAGGAACTCAACGATTTGGACACATATTTGGATTTAAAAAAAGGATTTCTTTGGTTTTAAGTATATTTTAAGTTAAAATTAATATAAAAAAAATTCAAAAATTTTTTTTTGAAATTTTGAAAAATTAAAAATCCGTTTTTGAAAAAACATCTTTGATTTTTTCAAAATTTTACTAAATGTAAGGGCAAATGTGCTTTACATGTCCTGTAAGTTTCATCTTGAGATCTCAAAGGGGTTCGGAGTAAAAAAATAAAACGTAACCACATATTACGAATATATGGGGCAAAATTCCTCAACTGCTCAGGTAAAAAATGAATTTTCTCTAAACTTTGCTAAAATGTTACTGTTATTAGTAGAAGTGTAAATATTAATTTTTTTTGAATTTTATAAAATATTTTTTGAGTCATGGAGTTTCAAAATTTTGATTTTATTGAAAATATCTTTTTTTCGATTTAATATATTGATAAGTAAAATTAATCAAATTTAAAGTATGAATAGTGATTTCTAAAGGGGGTTTCACGGGCTATAAGCTGGTGACCTTTTTTCTATGAGCCATGTAAAAATCAGAGTAGGAACATGAGAATTTTTGAGGAAAATAATAATTTATCATTATTTTACATAGAAAATTATGATTTATAATTAATTTCTTTAAAAAGTTCCATGGTCCCACTCTGATTTTTACGTGGCTCATAGAAAAAAGGTAAGCTTTCGATTGGGATAGGTTAGAAAAAAATAAAAAACACCGATTTTGAGATACAGTAGAACTTGGTTAATACGATTCTGTAGGGACCGCACTAAGAATGCGTCTTATGCGGAAAACGTATTAGGCGGGATATAAAATGTATGTTTTTAATTGCAGGGACCACCATAAATGAGCGTCTTTAGCGGGAAATCGTATTAAACGGAATCGTATTAACCGGGTTCTACTGTATATTGCAATTAAGAATTTGACCTTGAATTTCAAGGTCAAATTGACAGAAAACAACTTTTTTTCATCACCAGCTTATAGCCCGTGAAAACCCCTTTAAAAATCACTATTCATACTTTAAATTTGATTAATTTTACATATCAATATATTAAATCGAAAAAAAAATATTTTCAAAAAAATCAAAATTTTGAAACTCTATAACTCAAAAAATATTTTATCAAATTCAAAAAAAATTAATATTTTCACTTCTACTAATAACAGTAACATTTTACCAAAGTTTAGAGAAAATTCATTGTTTTACCTGGGCAGTTGAGGAATTTTGCCCCATATGTTCATAAATTTGTGGTTACGTTTTATTTTTTTTACTCCTAATCCCTTTGAGATCCCAAGATGAAACTTACAGGACATGTAAAGCACATTTGCCCTAACATTTAGTAAAATTTTGAAAAAAATCGAAGATGATGTTTTTTCAAAAACGGATTTTTAATTTTTCAAAATTTCAAAAAAAAATTTTTTTTTGAATTTTTTTTTTATTTTAATATCAACCTAAAATATACTTAAAACCAAAGAAATCCTTTTTTAAAAATCCAAAATCGGTTAATTAGAACCAAAGTTATAGCACTTTAAAAAAAAAGACAAAAATTTTGAAAATGACATATTTTTGATAATTTTCAAAATTTTGAAAAAATATTTGGTGGAGTTGTTTATCACTATATAAGTAATAAATTTACAAAAGTACAGCCAAATCCCAACAAGTCATGAAAATAAGTGTGTTGAACTGACGTGGAATCCACCAAGTACTTTTTATGAAAAATTTAATTACCTTTAATTTGCTTCGAAGAAAAGTAAAATCAATTGACTACAATTGGAAATATTGGTAATTTAGTGAATCCATTTTTTGTCGAAACTTTAGAAATTAAAATTTATCTATATCTCGAAAATTGTCCTACTTTTATAATATCTGACTTCATATTCGGATTCGGGAGCAAATTTTGCATATGAAATGATAATAAAACGCCACAGATCAAAATCTTTGAAAATTATAATTATTTCTTAAATATTTAAGTATGTGAATAATTAAATGTTTGCGTAGAATTTTATTAAAAGAATTTAATTTATTGAATTCTTTTGTAAAACTTTATTAAAATAATAAATATTGAAAAGCATTGAATTGAGGAAAATTTTTGAAAATAATTGCAGTTTTGCAATGAATTTTATTTTAATAAAATTCTTAGCAAAATGTTTTAAAATAATTGAATTTCGGAGAAGAATTTTATTACTTTAAAAAATAATTGTAATTTTGATGAAAATTTTTTAACATTTTTAAACATAATTTTTATGTGATGAAGAATTTTATTCCTTTGAAAAATATTTGAATTTCTGCAATCATTTATAACTTTTCCAAAGTTCAATTTTTTTAGTATTTTCAACTTAAATTCTTCTATAAATTCATTATTTTCAATAATTAATTAAATATATAATAAAAAATTCAACTATAATTTCAGAAGAATTTAAATTATTACAGTTTTTTAAAAATCTAAGTTTTCTTTAAAATTTCTAATTGAATCCTTTCAAAAATGAAATTGTATAAATCTTCAAATTTTCTAAATTTATATGTCTTACTTTAGGAATTTGTCGTCCCAATGGGAAATGCCAGTGTAGTGCCGATGTTCACCACTGGCTTAGTACTCAGACGATTGTTCGGCGTATTCTAGCCGAGCCTCGACAATTAGTGCTGGCGCAGTACAGAATTTTTGTTTCGCCAAAGCTTGGACAAGCCACGGCGGCAAGTGCTGGCTGAGTATAGAAAAATTGTTCACAACGCTCTTTGCCAACACGGCTTTTTTGCCATAAACTTGAAAAAAATTATAAAAAAAGTTTATGAATGTTTATAAACATAAATTTATTGAAAAAATTAATATTTTACTTTTCAGTTGTTTTCTTTTTTTATTCTTATTAAATTTAATAATAACAATTTAACACAATTCTCTAATTTTGTAAATAATAAATTATTTAAACAAATTAAAATTATAAACAAAATTTAAACTTTAATCTCAATAATAATTTGGTTCCTATTAAAATACTATTATACTTCTTACGATGAATAAAAAATTATTAAAAAATTACCACGTAATTTAAGAATTACGTAAAATGTTAAATGCAATAAGTAAAGTAATTTAATTATTAAAAATTTAGTTTAATTTATTTTATTTCAATTTATTATTTCTAACGTATCCCTATTTTTTTCTCATCTTTGACTCAATAATTGCATGTCTGAATGATACTGAAATATTAATACTTTACTGTACACATGTGTCGTTAGCATAGTGGTTAGAGCGTTAGTCTGTTAGTCCGTAGGTCGTAGGTTCGATTCCCCTCGTCAGCAATTTTGTTTATTTTCATAGGTTTGCGATATTTCTAGATTCCAATCGTTAGGTACTAAAATATGAAAATCTAATGCACACTTACTGTAATTGTTTATTATTTAATTTTTAAATGTTATAAACAATTTTTTTCTACTTCATTTACTATATCCATTGTTAGTCTCCATCTTTAATACAATTTCTTTAAGAAGAGAAATATTTTATGAATAATAACTATTTATTAATATTATTTACCATTTTGTTGTTAAATTATTTATAATTATGAATTTACGACTAATTAATAACAATACGGCATATATTGCGGCAATATTCTCAGCCAGCACTAGTCCAGTGCTGCGCCAGCGCTGTCTGGCAGCACTGACAGACAGTACTTCGGCAGCGCCGGACGGCGTTATCATCCCAGTGCCATGCCAGTGCTGGCTCTCAGCCTTGCCGCCAGTGCTGCCAGTGCTGGCGCAGTACTACGCCAGTTGTAAATTTCCCATTGGGGTAACACGTAATTGAATTTTTCGTAAAGGAAAACTGAATATATATTTTATAAATTTAAAAAAAGAATATATACACTTTTTTCACATTTGAAAACTAGCTTTTATCATAAAGGGGAAGTTATTTAATTTTAAAGATGTTGTTTCCTTTTTTTATTTACCAAATGTCAACGATATAAGTCAGTGATTAACCTTAGAGGTAGTTTTAGAGGGTTAAACAAACAAAAAATATTCTTTAAATATTGGATACAGGAATAATTAATTCAACTGTACATTATTATCTCAAAATAACGTCAAAAACTCATCCGTTGAAGGATTAAGAGCATTTAATGTTTATATGGAAATGTACAATAGAACATTTACTTTGCTGGGTTCCACAGTTTACATTGTATAGGACATCATGTACACTAGAACTGTGGAAATCCACGTGTACTACTTGTGTGGCAGAGCGAGAAAATGGAGATCCACCCTATGCATAATCCCGCCTATAAGGAACCATAGAATGCATCTTTCGGAAAGGAGAAAATGGGGAGTTAAGCAAAGGGAGGTGGATGACAACTTAGAGAATAAGTGTGAGAGAGACATGAAGATTATACATCATAGAGGATAGGAAGGGATACAAAGATTTAGTCTGTGTTGGCGCAGACTCTGATACAGCCAATCGTTGAACCGCGACTACCAACGACGCTACCAAACGTGTATCCGTCGTCGCAGCTAAGTCCTCCGTTCCACGCGTTAACAAATTTTATAAAGAAAATTTAATTTTTAAAATCCTTTATTATCAGTGGTTTTCAGACATTTTTGTCATTTTCTCGAATTTAACCTGTTAAAGTGTTGAGCAAAATCTATGACTAAGAATTTAAATAGATCTTTTGTAGCTCTTCCGGTGGTTCTAATATTTGTTTTCTAACACGACTTATGAGTAGTTCTCTGTTTCCCGCCTTAAATTAAATGCTTCAAAGTGTTCACATTGGAAGTGGTAGGGACGTCTTTATTGAAGAAATCTATTGCGTTACTTTCATTTCTTTCTTTTCATTTTTTTCTCGTTGTATTACCTGTATCTCAACACAGGTTTTTAAGTTGGATCCACGTCATTAGAAAATATAATAAACATTTGTGATAAGAAAAAGGAAAGTCCCTTATTCACGGTAAGTTGACACAAGATTAAACGAATGATGTTTTATAATAAAATCCTTGATTGACAAATTTCTTTGTTGATACTTACATTACATATATGTATATAATATTCTTTGAATTATTTTTTTTATTTTGATAGTTGTTTGTAAAACAGACTACAATTGAAATTATTACTTAAATTTTTCTTACTAATGTTATTATAATTTATTTAAATTTCATAAATTTTTAACAATTTGTTATCTACATTTACCAATATGTTAAATTTTCTTCTGTTGAATGATAATAAAATAAGTAATTACATTTTTATTCTTCTGTTGCCAAATTATCGATTTACAATTACAACTATCATTTTAATGTAAACACTGCATTTTTTAATGTCCTTACATGACAGTAATAATATTTTGAATTATACCTATAGTAAATTATAGCAGATTGATTTGTTTATTTTCAAATTATAGCAACACGTGAAAAAAATAACACATTATAAAATTATTGAGATTAAGCTAAAATAATTAAGGTAACTTAATCTGAATTATTACAGTGAATTATCTTTTTTAACCATTTCTCCTGAATTTTTTGAACTCACATTTATTGACACAAGTTAGAACTATAAACAAAACGATTTATTGTTATAAAGTATAAAAATGTCGATTACAAACAGGAAATATGAAATTTTGTAAAAAAGTAAAATGTGACAGGCTCGGATTTTACCACTGGAATGAGCGTGATAGCGATTGAACCGAATACTGACAAAAAATTACTATAATGAGTGGAAATTATAAATATTGAGAGTAAATCCAAATAAATATAAATAATAACCACCCGACTAGTAGATTTTTGTTGGTAAAGGTGCCATCTATCGTTCCTGTCATGTTACCTTTTTCACTTTTTTACAAAATTACTTATTTCCTGTTCCTAGTCTTCATTTTTATACTTCTTAACAATTCATCAGAATTATAAATATAATTCTGTGATGTTACAGTAATATTTCTTAAAATGACATTTTGTCAAGCAAAAAATCTATATAATACCCTCCCCTTTTTTATGTCACTTATCATGTCAAAAGTCCACCCAAAAGAAAAATGTTGTCCAATTATTCACAATTTTTTTCTGTGATATGCCCTATTGTAGGTTAGTAATTTGTCGGATGTGCCGTTAGGTACCGACTTTACAGTTACTGAAAACTGCAAGCAGCTTTGGCGAAATTTAGGAAATATATCAAATCCTTGCGAAACGATAAGTCGGTCAATTGGAAGATGTTTAAATTATTTTCCATCAATTGAGAATGACATTATTCATTAGACAAAATTATATATAATTAGTGATAGCGTATGCGAAGCATTTACAGGGCACCTGTTTTTCGCCCTGCATCCAGATGTTAATTCTGAAAGTGTCTTTAAGCTGTCGGTACTTGTAGGGAAAAGAATTGGATTTTGGCTGTTTGGCGTCCCTGTAAAAGAGTGCAAAAAGTTACTCTACAGTGCAATACAAAGATGCATGAGAAAGGAGGGGAAAAATATCCAATATTTAGGAAGCATTATATAGAATGGGGCCGACAAATATTCTCAAAATATTAATTATGATTCGAAGATCATGCTCGAACATGTATGTAAAGTATCTTACCTTTCACTTGACTACCTACAATTTTTTAAAAACTTCAAAAATATTTGTCCGACAAATTACTAACTTATAGGGTATATCATAATAAAATTTGGGAATAAGTGGAAAACATTTTTCTTTTGGGTGGACTTTTGACGTGATATCCACCATAAGTGTAAAAGATCCAAGGACCGAGTATAAATGAACTTTCTATTAATTTTTTTTTATTTTTCAAAATTTCTTTCAACTTTGTATAGACAAATTCATTTTTCAAATATAAAACTCATAATATCTGAAAACAACCCCCTACAATTTTTTCCAAATTTTTATAAAGATAAAGCTTACTTTTTCTAGTTTCCAGTCCCTCTTGTTTTATTATGGACATTTTAGAGGAATTGCATATAAAAATAAAAATTGTGTTTTTGAAAAAATTAGACACAAAGTAGGTATTTAGTGAAGTTCTACGGCAAATTTGATGTTCACTTTTATCTAAATGTGTCTAATTTTTAAAATAATTTAATTTTTATTTTTATGTGTAATTTTTAGGGACCATCACCAAAACAAAATGTACATTCAATTTTCTTTTGTTTTTGCTTAAACATATAAAATCTAAATTAAAAACATTTATATATATTTGAAGTTAGTGATTACCGTTTATTAATTATGTATTATTGAGTAAAGGGCTTATCGGTCTTATATTTTTAAAAACATTTATGTATTTCGTCTTTCAGATAGCAACAAAATACTGTCACATTTAATTTCGTCTTTCAAAGAAAAAATAAATAAACTCTAAAATTTTAATAAATTTCTGGTTCTGGCAAATGAAAGAGGTCAATGATAAATAATAATCTTTCCTATACAGTCAACCATCACTGTTAAATGTTTTGATGTCTGCTTGAGTTTTACACCAATTCATTTGCAGATTTTAAGTTACTGAACTTAATGAATTATTTTAATGAAAACCTAAATGAATTAAAAACTTTTTAAAATAAAGTTGTTTTTAAATTATACTTGTGTTTAAAACAATAATATTCTGCAAGTAAGCTTACGAATTTCATCAACTAATTAAACTTAATTAAATTTTTTTTTAATTTTTATAATATGTTAGGCTGTAGAGGGCATCCAAGACGATGCTTTTATTTTGAGGCGCTTTTTTATTAATTTTTTATTAATAAAAAGTATTAAAAATGGATTTTTTTTAATCTTTTAGGTATACCCACTAAAGAACATATTTTTTTAACAATATGCAAAAAGAATTAGACAGAAACATCCATCCTTTTACTCAGAATCGCTGCGACCGATTTTAAAAACACCGTTTTGAGAAAAACGCAGTTAAAGTTTAAGTATACGTTTTTTCAGATTTATTCTTAAATGTTTTTTGTAAGAGCTTACCAAATTTTAATTTGCTATCCAAGGTCAATAAAGTAAGTTATAAGCTTCCTCATAAGCCTCTTCATGTTCGTCGCGAGCCTTTCTATTGTCAAAAACCATACAAACATTGACTAATTCAATGCATTTGTCTAAAACATGCACTGTTATTTATAATGATATCTCGAGAACCGAATAAGATTTTTTAACGTTTTTGGTCTTAAATTAAAGATGAGACTTAAAGGATCACAACTATGTAAGTTTTAAGTTTTGTTTGCAATTATTAAAAAATATGCCAGAGTTAAAAAAATTGTTAAAAAAAACTTCCATTTAAAATTTTTTTTTAAATTTGTCGATTGTTAAAATTTTTGTGTAATTTCTTAAAATTTCGAATTCTATATCTTTTAACATAGAATATTATAAGATTTCAAACGGTAAATTTGTGGACCTCGACAAGATCGCGCACCACGCTTCCATTTTTAAATGTTTTTAAAAATTTATTATTGGAATTTGTAATTTAAATTGTGTACTTTAAGACAATAAATTGTTTCATTTAAAAATGTTAGGACGGAGGACATGTGCGGGACATACTCAGGAAATACTAAGGACATGTTTAGGAAATGTTTGTGACATTGTCAGGACACATTTAGAACATTTTTAGGACATATATGAGACATTCTCTGGAGATGTTTAGAACGAGCCAATATTCTAAATATGTGCTAAATATATTCTAAGTGTTTCCAAAAACACGCCCTAAACATGTCCCAAAAGTATTTCAAATATGTCCAAAATACGTCCCGAAGTGTCCTAAGTTCGTCACAAACATGACCTAAAAATGTTCTTATTATTTTTTCCTAAATATAACTGAAATATGCCTATGGATGTCTTATGGACATTCTAGAGAAATTTTAAAGGCGTCTCTGGGTCAGACATAGAACGTCCTATTGACCGCTTATGGTCGTATTTTTTATACCCCTAGGACATGAAAAGTTAACCTGGACATTTTAGAACATTTTAAGGTTATGTTTAAGACATCTTACTGTCCACTGGATAATTAACAATATAATCAAAAAAATATACTGGCCAATCAAATAAACAAGAAACCGACAATAAAACTCTATTTGTGACCAAGATAAGGTGCCCAGATAGCACCGTTTTTTTCAGGAAGTTACTAGGAAGCTATCCGAGATAAGTTCAGAAGTTATCTTTGTTAACTTCCAGTCAACTTCCCTGTACCTCTAAATGTCCTACGTTTTAAACTTTCCAATATTAACTTCCAGGAAGTTACCCACGTAAATTTACTGAAAAAATTTAAAGAAAACTTTGTGAAATTTTAGAATGAAATTTAAAGATATAAGTTTAACTGATAATTTTTACAAAAATTATCATTACCAATTTCCAGATAGCACGTAACCTTGCAGCAATATTGCATTCTAGACAAACATTTAATTATATAATATTAAATTAATTATTTAATATTACTTCCTCATAGACACGGAAAAAAAGTACGTGAATCCTTCCTTGAAAGTGCTTGACTTTTGGATAGGACACAAAATACAAAACTGTATCATATACTTTTTATTAGAAAATATAGAAAAGTCCTAGAGTTATTCTAGTACTAGTATAGGCAACAGTGTTTTTTAAATTTTAACGAAAAGTCATTTGTTCAGTTTTATAAAGTACGTGAAAGATTAGTTGACTGCGCTTGAAAATTCTGTAGAGCATGCGCAGTGTGCGTTGCGCGTTTCTACCCAAGGTAAATGCCAGCTGATCGTCTGTTTCCATTTGTGTTAATTTCAGATGTGAATATACTATTATTTTATGAAAAACAAATAGTGTTAATATAAATTTGTCTTCAAGAATTGACTTTCAAACAAATATTTTTTATTTTGTGTTTCTCACAAAACAGAATGTTATGTAAGTCTCAGTTTTCAGTGAAATAGCATGTCTCAGAAGTCGTGAAAAATTTCACCATGTGGTATATAAGAACAATTCGATACGTACTTTTAAGTGTTAAGTGTGTGTTTATAATTAATTTAACGCG